GGTAGGAGTCGCCCGAAGGGCCCGATCCCCACCGCCCCGCGCTCCCCGGGAAGGGGGGGCGGCGATGTTAAACACCGTCTGGCCTGTTGTCACTGAATGGGGACAGGCGTCGGTCGCACGGCCCCTGGAGCCCGGCATCTGCCCGGGCAGACGCTCTCGCAGCCCCGCACTCCCCAGGGCAGGGCGCCGGGCCGACGGCGAAGCGGGGCGGGAGCGGGCTGGGCCCCCCCGGCTGCCCCTTCCAGCCTGGCCGGGGGGCGCGGGGCGCGAGCTGTTCCGCCTCCAGAAAAAAACTAACATAATCTCGTAACAGGGCGATAACTAAATTTTATTACATATCAAACCGCAGACACTTGTGTTCAGGGAACAGCTATAACTCTCAAAACTGAGTTTAGAAGATAAGCCTCCAAGCATCAAAACATTCGAGAGACTGTTTTGACAGCTTGAGAGCTCTAACAAGTACTTTAAATGTGATTATTTCATAGAGAAGCTCCTTGAGAGTTCAGAAAACAAGGAAATAATTGTTTGGCCTTTCCGGTATCTGAGTATCCCCATGGCTTTCTCACACTTGCAGGGTGTAAATATTTATCTCAATGAAGAGGTGAGCTTTTATTAGCCAACATTTAATGCCTTAGACCTCCCAGTCTGCAGTCTACCCTGGACAGATGTTAACGACGTCACTTAATATGCTATTGCATGGCACCCGGATGCTCCCGGATGGTGGCAGGAAAGAACCGGCACTCAGTAAGAATTAGCAAAGCTTTAGGCAAAGAGGATCACAGTTCAGCTTTCTACTGAGGTCATCAACATCATCTGCTTTAACGCCAGCATTTTCAGGCTAGTTTGAAGTAGTCTGGTCAACTGTTCAAACTACTAGTTAGAGCCATCCATCTTCCCCTTCAGTTGCCTTTAACGCTATTAATTAAGATTCACAGAAGAAACCATTGCCTTTAATAAATGCATTTCTCCTAAAATCACAAATCCCAGGTACCAGTTTTTTTCTTTACCTACATGTACCATTCCACCAGACCAGCTTATACCTCATGCAGTCTGATGTCTGTGCACTCTGCAGTTCTACAGACAACCGCGCACCTTTGGATGGCACCAGCTGTTTGACAACAGGAAGGCCAGGACAGCCAGCTCCAGTGCCAACATTTCTCCTCTGTTTTCCTCTACCGCCACAGACACTTCTGTACCAAACCAGGAGCCACCTTTTCTTCCCACTAGAGCACAGAAGATCAGAAGTAAAGTTAACCTCAAACAAACAGCTCTCTGTAAGCTTTAGCATCCCCAAGCAGCAGCTGTTCCTTTCTGGGAAGACACCATTACTATAGGTCTCAACTTGCTCGCAGAACAAGTCCGTCCGTATTTATTCCATGTTAAAAAGACACCAATAAAGAAAAGTTAAAAGTTAGAGTTGGGAACTGTTGAACCAGACAATGAAGCCAGGAGGTGAAGTGACACAAGTCCTCAAACCCCACCACCTCCCACCTGCTATCTGAATCTCTTCTACACATCAATAGCAATCAAATGATGAAAATACTCCACTTTCAAGGATATAATACACTCATACCCAGAAAGCTGTCTCATCCTACTGTTTTAGATTTAGTAATGGCATAGGATTTCCCTTGAAACACAGCCCAGACATTCTGCTGAGCCCCTAGGAAGTTACAAAGCACGAGGGATCCATCCTTTCCTGCTACATCCTCCTGCTCCATCTGGAGACGGCAGGGCACCAGCTGATGCATGCAACACTCAGGATGCAACAGAGTACAGCCAGGCCAGTTGTTTGGAGCTGTTCTAACAGGCTACGCTCCCTCCTTGCCAACTGGGGGACTAACACGAAAGTGGGTTTAAAAACTATAGACAGAACCCTTATGGAAAGAAGAGGGATAGCTCCTTAACAGATTCAGATTTAAAAAAAAAAAAAAAAGCGCATTTAATCTGATACACATTAGTTTGAACCTCAGCCAGAAATTGTTTATATATTCCTGCCTACTGACATCCTTGAAGAGCCCACACAAAGTTGTTTTTTTTTTTCACTTCACAGCTTTCCAAATACACTGTGTTCTCCAGTTTCAATCCATTCCTTGAATAATAACAGCCAAAAATCCTGATCATAGACTAGTCTGGGTATCTCAGCAGCAAGAGCAAGGAGCAGGTGGTCTGTCAAGACACAACATCCACTTCAGTCAAGCCTGAAGATCTGCTTAGCCTCTAGGTAAGCACCTTCACTCAGTTACCCCACTCACGCAGTTAGTGGGAGAAGTGCAAATATCTTGAAACCTGCCTGCATCTAAAAAGCTTAAAAAAGGTCAAAAGCTTAATATATTTTCATTTCCAAACACACACGTACAATACTGAAGGGGGGGGGGGGAAGAGAGCGGAGTTCCTCAGCAATTAGCCCTAACTTCAGTTGTCAACTATTTTTGAACAGGATTTAATGATGTTAAGCATTCACTCAAATATTCTCTCTTCCTCCCTAAAGCAAGAATTCTGGAATTTACTTTCATTCTTCATAGTAAACTGCATTTTACTATAGTAACTGCATCTCTTTTCCTACAAAAAACTGAATTGTTTGTGTGAAATGTATCAGTTGCCTTCCATCTCCACCACTCTCCACAAAGGCTCTCTTCACTTCCTCCAAGAGGAGTGACCATCCTGAAAGTTTTGAAAATCCCAGCAGTCTGCACTTGTGCTTCAAATGACCCCATGCCTAATACAACCTCCCATCCTGTTTCTCTTCAAGCAGGAGCCTGTGATGTTTTTTCTTTTCTCTTAAGCTTCTGTGTTCTGAACTTCCACATAACCCTGCAACATCTTGATATTTCATCCCTTTGAAAGCCACGCAGCTGGCATGTGCCAGCTTACTCCCAAAGAGCAAGCCCTGCACTGTCAGTATGGTTTTGAACAGCACGGACCGAGCAGTAATGCTTCATCACTTACCAGCGCTGTGGAACAGACACACACCCAGAGAAAAACATTCTAGAGGTTACTATGCTCAAACAGGGCACCAAGGCTCTGATCCCACGCTAAGTATACAGTCTGATGTAATTAAACTGAAGGAACTTGGGGTTTTATTCTTTTTATTAATAGCCTTCCTTTTTTCCTTGGTGTGCACTCAAAGAACACCAATCTCATTCAGCTTGCAGATTTGAGTCAACATTTCAAAAAACAAATTTCATGTTGTTTCACTGAGTTAGAATTGCACATGACATAACACCACATTTTGAGGAAAAACAATACATCACCCGTGTTATTCCTACAAACTCTAGAGCAAAATAGATCCTGAGTGCATACTTCAGAGGTCTTTCACTGCTCAACCAGATGTCATTCCCAGTTATTCACTTATAACAGAGAATGGCTCCAGAATAAGCTTTAAGAAGTGCTCAGACAACCAAACCGAGGTCCAGTTCAAAAAGTCAAAATTGTTTTTACTGTGCATACCACCTCTTCCCTGTAAAGAAGATCATGAACTCCAATAGTTGAACAGAACACATGGAAAGGTAAATCCTGTACTTCCAACAAAGCTGTTCTATATTGAGTTGAAGCACACCAGTGAAGAAGTTGGTCCTAAATAATCAAACCAAGACCAAAAAAAAAGCTACATTCTAGGAAGATCACACAGGAGATCCATGTTACACATTCAGAAGAATAAAGAATTACCTGCTACTTTCTCAAGTTTTATATAAGCATTTCAGAACTTCCAACCCTTTTCACATATTTCTACAGAAAAATCAACTTCCTTTCACACAGAAAAGACTGTTCTCCAATGTAAAAAACACCAACTCCATAGAAAAGTCTAATATTAATTTCTAATTATTCTTCTAATGATTCTGCTTAACCAAAGCTTAAAAGCAAAGCAAATAGAAGAAAGCACTGTCCACCTATGCTTGAAGCAAGCTCCAGAACAAGAGTGCTGAGAGATTTTAACTGTGCCAATTCAGAACTTTGGAGGGTCTCACATTTCCCCTGAAATGCCACATATGGGTGTTTGAAGCATACACAAACTCCTATGTACTTATCCCTCTGCAGTAGGAGTGCCATCATTTAGTCGACTAAGGATCAAGTGTTGGACACGTAAGGCGAGAATTATTGAACTACAACATTTGTTTTTGTACGCTTCCATACTGCACTAAGCCTGAAAGCCAGAGGCTCCCCTTTCCCTTTAGGCTGGGGAGGACGGGGTGAAGAAGGACGATTGTGACTCAGATCACCCCAGTATGGCAGCTCACAGAACCCAGAAGACAAGAAAAATCTAATAACTTCATGGCATCAAACACCACTAGCAGTATTTTCAGTAGTGCCAGGACTGACCTCTTCTGGAGAGAAAATATTAGCATTATGGCAGAATCCAGTCTTGTGGGTCAGCTTGGTGTCACTGCTCCATGTAAGATGGAATCTAAGCAAACAGTGGGTCAGCTTGGTGTCACTGCTCCATGTAAGATGGAATCTAAGCAAACATTCGGCACAAGAAAACCTGCAGTTTGTTCCTAGTTAACCACTGTAATAAATTCTCATCAACTGCACCACTTTGTACAGGATACCCAACATGCTCTATTTCAGTGTACACTAATTACACATTCATTTAAGAACTTGGTTAACTCAAGCTTGCGGCTTTAATACATATGCTTAAGGACACCTGATTTCCAACGAGCTTATTTTGTACCAAACTGACCATAGCTTCTGCCTTACATTCTGCTTACAAACACAACACAAATGCTGGCAATCCTGCCAGCAGTATGTACCAACTAAAATTTTCACGATCTTGGCTTCATGCCACCCAACAACCCAAGAAATACAGCCCAACACA